CGAAATTCTCTTCCAGGTGAGTTGTTGGGTTGTTTTAGCTCGGAGCTTGAGGTAAGGTCGTCCAATTACACTGTCAACAACAGTAGAACGTATATTTTTTGCAATAAGACCAATAGCGGGAATACATATAGATTCTTTGTCGGACTTCGCATAGAACAGCAGATAAATTGAGAGCAGCCGTATTTTATTCTTTCTTCTTCATGAATCCGATGGACTCCTAAACATTCCCTACAGAATCCATGCACTTTTCCATTACCGCTTTTCAAAGTTCTAGTTTTGGGTATACCTTATTTGCCTCTGCGACTTGTTCATCCTCACATGAAGGCATTTTTGATGTTGATTCAGTGCAACACGAAATTTTATTCATGTAAAACTAAAGTTCCCAGATAAAGGTTAAATAGAAACTACATAAGTACTTTTAGAATCCCAATACAACAGTAGAGTAGAGAAAAAAATCCTCAATAAAAAATGGTGAGAAAGATAAACAAAGAAAAAAGATCTTCTTTAAGGTACAAAATAAACTGCAGTAGTTTCCAGAAACGATAATTGTGCTGTATTTGAAGCTTTCCAACTAAACTTTGTTACGCATCACGTATCAATCGCCAGTTCAACTACTGAAAAGAATATTGTGAATCTAAAGGTTGATTATAACAGCACAAGTTTACATGACTGACCACGAGCATTCATTGATAGGGAAAAGGACGGTAAATTAAATGTGAAAGCAATTACAATAGCAAATTGGAAGACAAAAGAAAAAGATAAAAACAAACTTTTATCCAAAAAAAATTAAAAAACTCTATTTTACTAATAGAGTTTCAGCAAGGTTTTAAAGCAGAAAAAATGAAAAAAATTTTTTTCAGTCATCAACAGAACTGATTGTTTGTTTTGCATCGCTTGTGACCTTCCACCTCGCTCCCGTTGAACATTTTTCCCTGGCCTTTATTGGAGACCCTCATTAATCCAAAATCACCCTCTTCTTTGGATGGGATCTCTAAAAGTAGGGTAATCACGGGGATGGAAATCCTAATGACTGGAAGATCGCAGAACCAAATTTTGCCATTTTCATGTCGTTCTCAGCCTAAGCAAGCAAAGAGGTATTGGGCTGTTAACATCTGTTTTTTAAATCAGCATTTAACATCTCAGCGAAAATAGTGTTGCAGTAGTTTGAGCTTTATCGGGTAAGGAACCAGCCAACCGGCTCTGTGCTTTGAATTTCTGATTAACAAGTATTGAAATGGTTTTCTTACTGTAGTTTGGCTTCTAACCCAAAATTTTTACTACGCAGTACGAATTAGATATCCATTTGCGTAAAGATGTCCATTCTGATTCAGGTTTGTGATTACAGTTTACGAATGTAAGTTTGAGGGCCAGTAAGTACGAAGATGTTGCTGTGCGAGTAGGGTTTTTGATTTTCCCTATAATTTTTCTAGCTACAGTGCGATAATTGAAAGTACGATTTTCGCATGATGGTGATGCAGACCTTTAGGAAACTTAGCTTTTAGCCGAGTAACTGGAAGCTTAGAATCAGCTTAATAATGCGAGAATCGGATGGAAAATGGGAGGCGTAGGCTTCAATTGGTCATTTCAGGTTTCATGATTCTTTGTTTTTTTTTTTTTT